ACTAGAACACAAGGTACCGCACTTACACTCACTAGAACACAAGGTACCGCACTTACACACACCTATATCGTGCCACTCAATGAACAAAAAAAACGACACGGCCTTGCAATTTCCATCTCCATCGCAGCACGCAACCCACCCCATCAACCCTACCTCTGCGTCGTGATACTCCCCATCCCCATACAGCCTATGTCCCCACACGCAGAAAAAGCCACGTCCCCTCACCAAACCACCACTGCTTTTCACGACCGCGCTACCGTCTTCACCCGAATAGAACAGCCGATCATCATAATAACCGTATGTGGTGCAATTTTCAGTCCACATACGGCTATAATGACCGGGCACTCTATTCGGGGGTGAAGACGGTAGTAGTGTCGACACCCGCCGGCCTTTTTCGGTTGCTCTGTCGGATTGATGATATAATCCAATTGCCACAAAGTTCCCCTTTTCCATGTCCGACGAGATTGGCACGATTACATGCGATTCGGAGTGGGATATTAACGGTTTCACGTTAGACAATACACACACACCCTCCTCCCTCCCCTCCGCCATGATGAACTTGAACTCTGATTTCCCGCGCTACGAGACTCTTCTTTGCTCAACCCATGCTCCAGAGTCGAGCGTTGGTTTCCCGCGCTTCCAGACCCTTCTTTGCTCAACCCATGCTCCAGAGTCGAGCGTTGATTAACCTATCACGCCTCAAAATAGCCCGCACGAGCCGTTGCGCAAGAGAACGCCCAAACACCAAAAACACCCATTTCCACTCTCTATCAAACACCCAAATGTCCCCACTTCCGGCGTTCAATCCGCTGACATCCAACGGTCGTTCTCCTCTTTCAAAAGAGGAAATTCAGTCGATCGCCGTACGTCAGGTGGTTCATGTACTTAACGGCGTACGTCAGGTAGTTCATGTACTTAACGGCGGGGGTTGGGGGTGAACGCTTGAGCTGAGAACGTAAAGCAGAAGGGGGGGAATGAGCGACAGAGGAAAAGGATGCAGCACACTGATTGCGCGAGATAACATCGTAAACAAGTACGTAACCAAGGTCGGGGGTAACCAGTTGAGCCGAGAGCGCGAAGCAGACGAGAGGATGGGCGAGAGGACAAGGACACAATAGACCGATTGCGCAAGATAACATTCGTTCGTGAGCAAGCAAAACACAAAACCAATCAATCACAAGCAGACGTGATACTCATTCAACCACCCATAACCTGAAACTACCCATCTACTACTGAGAAACTTACAGAAGAGCCCGATCTTCTTTCACACTGTTGTCCACTTCTAGAATCTTCGATCCAGCCAGAAGCTGCATCACAAGTCCAGATGTCATAATTGGAGTGATACCCAGCTCCATCACCGTTCCTCTGTTGGACGCAAGAATCACTCGCATCCAGTAGAACGGATCTGAACCCGTGGCTGAGTGAATTCCATAGAGGGGCAGCTGACTGCATACAAGAAAAATGAAGAGCGCCACAACAGTGTAAAGAACTTTCTCTCGAAAGGGCACCTTCCTGTCAGCCGTCTGCACCTCTGGCAAGACCGACAAAAACGGCCTCACCAACTCAAGAACACGAAACCCCCCACCCGCCATCGCCGCCCCTTCTCTGGAGCGGGAGAGACTCCAGGCCCCCCTCCCTCTCTCTCTCCCTCTCCCTCGCGCACCCGCGCTCACCCGACTTCCCTCGTCCTTGTCGTCGGCTTGATTCGCCTCCTACCCGAACCCACCACCTCCACCTACGCTCCCCGCCAACGACTAAAGCAACCCCTCCCTCTCTCTCGGACTTACAAACCGGATCCACCGGAACTATAGCGAGCGATGACAAACAGAGGAAGAAAGAAGGAAGAAGAGGAGAAGGAAAATACAGTCGACGATCACGACGACTGGTGATGGCGTCGTCATCGGGCATCCGTGGTGGTTCTACACAGCCCGACCCGCCAACGCACGCTATCAGCTTCGGCGCCAAACTTGCGCCTGAGGAAAGGACCCTCAAAAACGGGTCGACACCCAAAACCTGCTGGTCGGACAGTACGCCCCGCGCTCACTCAGCACAAACAGGACTACTCCGAAAAGCCAGCGACCCGACGACCGAGCGAGATGCTGCCCACTACCGTCGCGTCAGCACCAGGACGGCCGACCGGTCGTCCGACGGACGGATACCTGCACCGCCACCGGACTAACTGTCCACTGAGAGTAGCCTACACAGTCACTCCATTTGACTGGGGCCAACAGGAGTAAGCCGAACACCGCCCTGTTGCCACGTGTGGCCAAAAGTGAAAGATGCCTTCCCCCAGCTGTGAGTCGACCTGTTCAGACCCGACTACACTCGCCCTCAGGTGCCCACCTTAGCGCCAGATACCGTACCGTCGGTGCTATCTCCGTGCTCTCTCCCACCTCGACGCACGGATCTCGGGGGGCCACAGTACAGGAAGACAGGAAGAATCCATGTGTCAGTGTCACCTTGGACTGGTTCAAAATATTTGGGGAAACGCAATAGCATCAACATAGCAACATAGCACAGCACAGAGGGCAGCATGGCACAGCACAGAGGCCACCTTTCTGTATTCAAGAAAGGTGACAGCTCTGGTTTACGATCAGCACCAACTCGACGGGGGAAAGCTAGTTCGTCAAGTGAAAACGAGAACCCCCCCTAACCCATGACGTGGTCCAGTCCCAAGAATTGTACTCCATCTCAACCCACACGTGCGTATATCATGATCCTTCCCAAGTACTGTGCTCTCTCTCAGCCCCCACAGATGCATGACATGTGGCCCCGCCACACCGCTCTCCAAATGTGAAATAGAACAAGAATGTGGCGGGTGCATCTGGCCACGTTTAGGTGGGATTTAGGTGGGATTTAGGTGGGAAGGTGAAGAAGACACACACACACACACACACACACACACACACACACACACACACACACACACACGTGCACGTGCACGCAGGGGTTCACACTCGCTTGTTCTTTTTTTCTCTTTTGCATGCACGTGCATATCCCCATCTAAATTCCACGAGTCCGGGCCCCGCCAAAAACAATTTTGGAGCCTAAAAATATCTTTTTGTTTCTGAATTATTTTTTTGTGGGTTCTCTATGATGTAACCTACACGCCTATAAATTTTGAGGTCATTCTGCGTAGCCAAATAAACATAAAAATCGTCAGATGGGGGTGTCAAAACGTGCTCGCCCACTCATTATTTTGTTTTTTTTCACTTTTAACTTTTTGTTTCACTTTATTTCGAGGCCTAAACAATTTTATTATTTTTTGAAACCTTTTTAATGAGTTATTGATTATGTAAACTACATATCTGTAAATTTTCAGGACATTTGTCAATGCCAAAAAATAATTAAAAATCGGCAAAGATGGCGGTGTCGAAAAGGTGTTAGCACACTCACTCATTTTAATTTTCTTTTTATTTTTTCTTATTTTTATCATAGTGTTTATTTCTGTATTTGATTTTTAATTCAAATTAGGTAAAGAATTTTGATACAGTGCCTAGGCAAATGTTGTTTAGTTTATTTTTCTCCATAACATATTTTTTTGCGAAAGTTTTTGAAAACTTTTCGTTGTTGTTTTTGTTTTTTTGGTCCGCATTCGGCCCGAACGACCGAATGCCTTCCGAAGGGGTCCCGTACGTTCGAGCGTTCAGGTTCGGGCGTTCGGCCCGTCCCGAACGCCGGCAACCCTGCCTGTAAGGGTATATGGTTGGACAACGCCACCTCTTTGTAACAAGTTTTCATCACTCCAATAACTTTCTATCACCCCACATAGTACACTACCTTTTGTACCTCGCCCGTTCTCTACATGCCTTCTACGCTTCTGTTACGTTTTCGAATATCGCTTGTATTGCGTATACCCTTCACTTCACACCTTCTCCCAACCTATAGTTATTATTCCCTCTTTATACTATTTGATCGATGTTCCTCTATGACCGCCTAACTCATCTTCATGATAGATCCAACATCATTAAACATGTTATGCTGTTGGCAAGAGACACTTTGCTCTGAGTGAGCTTTGTGCCATTTACACTGTAGAGTTTCAATGAGGGGTTTGATTGAAAAAATACCTTTTGAATGATGTAATACGAGATAGGGTTCCTCTTTCAATTTAATCAGGTACGTCTCTTATTACCGTAATCACTTCAACAAAATCACCAAACAATGTTCGTCAACGAAAGCGACCGAAATACATCATAGGGATGTCCGTGGCATGAACCTTGTTATTTCATTATTATGTTTTATAATCACTATAGGTTTTGCAATTATGAACTGTTCTTTCTCCTTTTTATCTTTCTTTTATACTTCTTATTTTTATTCTTTCTGTTTTTTTTGCACCTTTTTTCTTTTTTCTCTCTATTGCTCTCTCCTCTCTATAGTTTTTATCTTTGTTTTTTGTCATATTATTGGGTTTATCTTGTGTAGGTATTGTACAGTATTGTACCTTTTATTAGTTGGACCTAACAGTTTACATTTCAATTGCATTGCAGCTATACGCTTCATGCTTGTTACCCTTCCAATCAATCACGTTATCATTTACTATTTTATTAAAGTAATTAAAATAACAATAGTGTTTAAACTGTGTTTTGATGAAATAATATTTATTTTTTATTTTTAAGTATAACCTAATATATATTTTTTAGATATATTTTTTTGGTTAGCATTGATGTTTTTTTTTGCTATGAAAAAAATAAAAATGATATAACATTATAAAATTAGTTTCGATTGATTATTTAAGTATGCATTTAAAATAACAAATTTGTTAATCACTTCCTGCCTTATGATAATAGTAAAGCTTCAAAAGTACACAGTTGATAAAGTTTTTAAAAAATTATCTATCTTTGTTTTTTTTTTTCCATATTGTGAGCATTAGGTTTGTCTTTTGCAGGTGTTGTGCCTTATGCTAGACGGGCTTAACGGTTTACATTTTGATTGCATTTGAGATTTGCACTCCATGCTTGTTACCATTACAATCAATCACATTATCATTTATTACTTAATTAAACTATTTAAAATAAAACAGTGTTTGAACTTTTTTATTTAAAATATATATTTTTTATTTTTGAAGTATTGCTTAATATAAACCTTTTTAAAGTATATTTTTTTGGTTAACATTCATATTTAATTTTCCCACAAAAAATGAAACATATAATATTATACAATCAATTACGATATCAATTTGTTGATCCGTTTTTACCTTATAATAGTAGTGAAGCTTTGCACGTTCTTAGATGGTAAAGCTTTAAAATTATTGTTTATACATTATTAAAATGATTGTTTAAAGGAAGCAAGAGTTATGCATGGTCTTTGTTAGAGGAGGAGGGGGGGATTCATATTTTATTTTCCAACAAAAAATGAAACATATAATATTATAAAATCAATTACGATATCAATTTGTTGATCCGTTTTTACCTTATAATAGTAGTAAAGCTTTGCACGTTCATAGATGGTAAAGTTTTAAAATTATTGTTTATATATTGTTAAAATGATTGTTCATTTAAATTTAAAGGAAGCAAGAGTTATGCACGGTCTTTGTTAGAGGAGGAGGGGGGGGGAGGAATCCATCTTATAAAAATAAAAAAATATATTTCCTCTCTGTGACGAAATGGTTGCAACAACGCCTTATAGAATGTAACTCACATCTATCATAATATTAATATTGTTTGTTTGTTTTTTTTTTACTTTTTTTTTTTTTTCTCGTAGCAGTAAAAAAAAAAAAAAAAATGAAACGGTACTAACCCTACGATAGATTCAAAAAACATCTGCATACAGCTAGGCTACCAACCGGGCCGCCCGGGTTCCGGGTGACCATCCCGTGCAAGGACCA